GGATTTTACCAAATTTTTCGATAAAAAGTTTTTGCAGAGAAATCCGAAGGGACCCACTTATTTGCCCTTTCTGAGGTGGCAGAAAATGCACTTTTTCTAGAAATTTTGATCCTGTTCGCCGCTAAATATCCAGGGAAATCTTTTCTTTCCCCCGGTAATAATTTTTCTAGCCTAATCTTACTAATATTGTGCTTATGGTTTTTACGTGACGTAAAAGGACCACCACGAATGTTTACATTGAAATATAGGTTTAAAATTTTGACCACCACCCTTCCTAATATTTAAAGTATTAGGAACTGCAACGTTTCCATTTCAAAACTTAACAGCTGCCGCTTCTCTGACATCGGTTATATCTGGAGCCAATAAAGGTGTGCGCGCGGGGCTTATCCGCTTCCGACAGCGGACGGATTTCCGTTTCCGGTCTAATGGTGGCAGAACTGCTTTGGAAGCCGCAGCAACAGAATTCTGTTCCGTTCGCTCGCAGTCTCGCTGTTTTATCGTTGTCTGTTTTCATGTCACTTCTTTTAGGACAATGTCCTTTCAGCCGGCGTTCAACGCCAGGCTGATTGCCGAGGTGAAGAAGTACCCATGTCTATACAATCACGCCAAGCGTGGAAGCGGGGATACGCTGGAGCGGATGCGAATATGGGAAAAAATTGCCGCCGACGTTGATAGCAATTGTTCCGGTAGGGGCTCTGCCCATGTTCTAATTTTTCTGAAGAGAATTTTTGATAATTTGCAGGTGACTTTGCCAAAAAGCGCTGGCTACAGTTGCGAGATCGATATCGTAAAGAACTGAAGACCGCGATTAAGCAGAATTTTGTCTCACCCGTTCGATGGTGTTACTTTTCACACCTATCGTGGCTCGATCCTTACCTGAAGGATAACCTGTGAGTTGACAAAGTAATAAACCTAAATTCAGTTACCCTTATCCCTACGTCACAGGGTGTTGACCTCTTGCGAAAGTTACGGCGAAATCAAGGATGAGTACGGTGTGGATTACGGTATCAGCTCGGTGAAGACCGAACCAGATGACTGTGAGTGTTTGACTCTTCGCCACCGAAACTTCTTTTGATAAATCCATTTCTAGCTGATGGCGGCCATTCTTCGTCCATGATGGAATCCTCCGTGATTGACCGCCTGCTAGCGTCGACTCATCAACTCGCAGGTTCCCAGAAAGGTGAGTAAAAAGTAGGATTTTTTCCCGTACAAGTTGAGTTTTTCTGGGCGCATACTTTGATAATATAGTTCTTCCTTTCCCAAAGAGTATTGTAGTGCTTCACAGAACTCATTTTGTTTGATGATTTTGAGCTGGCGTCTGAATTGAAAGAACGAATCTATAATTCTAAAAGTTCGTTCAGTCGCAATATAAGTTTGTCACACACAAAGGAACAAATCTTGTAAGTTTTCTCACGAACTTTGAGGGTTGTAGTTTTCTGGTGTATGCTTGTCACACAATGGGGAACCGAATTTGTTTGAAAATTCTTCAATTATTTTTGGCGAAGCCGAGTTGCGTCATGAAAAGCTTGAATTTCGAATTGTCATCTTCTTAACACTGTATTCCTGAAATCCATTGCAAAATAAAGTAGAAGAATGGGATTTGAAAGAAGAAAAAATGAAGATCGCAAAGTCGTCAAACTGTGAAGGCTTAAGTAAAGCCAATGGACAGCCCTTTGTTCTTTTTTATATATGGCAAATGTTCTACTTTGTATTACAAAACTTATATATAACCTATTAGTAGCGAAAGTATAATTAGCCAAAGGATGATCTCTAAAATTTTGTGCGATATCCAGAGAGATAAGAGTCTGACGAAAATTTTGAACATTTTAGATGAGAGTAGAACCCACAGCGTTGCCGATTCTGGAGTGGACGAAGAGCTAAAGCTTGACTGCGATAGGGCTCAAGACTTGATGTATAAAGAATCGAACGACGGCAAAGTGCAGAAGAGTGAAGCTGGAGCGCCACTGTCCCATCAGTCACA